CAGAGGGCAGGGCTGGGTGGGAGATTGGGAATGAGGAATTGTTCCCTGTGAGGGTGGGCAGGCCCTGGCACAGGGTGCCCAGAGCAGCTGTGGCTGCCCCTGGATCCCTGGCAGTGGCCAAGGCCAGGCTGGACACTGGGGCTGGGAGCAGCCTGGGACAGTGCAAGGTGTCCCTGCCATGGCAGGGGTGGAAGAAGATGATCCTTACAATCCCTTCCAGCCCAAACCCATCTGGGATTCCATAATTCTGATTACACTGGTCACAGAAAACATCCAGAATTCTTCATGCAAACATTTCTGGCTACTGCAGAACATAACACTCCGAAAGAGACCTGCATGCACTGGAAGTTCTTTTGTTTGAACATTTATTTTTGAATCTCATAAAACTGGTTTACTAGAAATTTCATTAAGAAAAGACTGGTTTCACTATTAGACAAGAACACTGCTACAGAAAGTTTAATATTCCTTCCCCTAGAAAGGAAGGATGAAAATATAAAGTTACTTCTAAAATGTACCAATATTTATTCAGCTTTATTTGTGACACAGGTCACAGTAACAGTATTTCCCAGTTATGCTCTAAACCAAAATTAAGTTTTCTATTATTCCAGTCCTTCCCAAGAGCATGGAGCAGGCTATTTCCTTGCTGGTTTATAAATACTGTTTTAACCTGACAATTTCTTACACAAGATCTTTTTCCTAACTAGGGAAAGGGTTCCTGCCAACACAAAATGGGGGGTTATAAAACCCTAAAACAGAGCAAGGCCTGTTGTAGCTGTGTTCCCTGGCAGATGTGCTGGACAGAGGGTGCAGAGCTGAGCTGGAGGCTGTGCTGTCATCCTCAGACCAGCGTCCATCTGGTCCACACGTCCAGCACAACCAGCACAGTGCTCCAGGGAGAACATTTTAATAAACAGCTACAAGTTAATTTTCACCAAGCTGATACTGACACTCTCTTAACACACAGCAAGTTTCATCTCCACAGTATTAATTGTTACAAATACATAACAGATAAACAGCTCAATCCCAGGCCTTCAGGTCCCTCTCCACTCATGTACCTACACACTTTAAAAGGCTGGGACCTTAAAATTCAGCCTTTCAAATGAATGGCATTTCTTCAGCAATTAAAATGAATGGCACTTATAAATTTAGAAAGGACAAAGCCCAGACAGGATGCAGTAAAATCTGATTAACAGGTCACAGGATTCCTTCAAAGCAACCCCTTAAAATTTGGATTTCAAAGATCCTTAAAAAAAGATTTTGGATTTTAAAGATCCTTTTTTAGATCCATTTTATTTAAAATAGCTCAACCAACCAGGCAAAACCCCAGAATTAAATTGACATAGAATGCCATAAACTATTAGCAAATTGCCTCAATTTTTACTTACCTTCTCTGAAAAACAAAACTTACTTAATTTCTCAAGTAAACTTCCCAAGTTTTAACACGCAGCCTTTGAACATCATTGTATCTTTTGTCTCCTAGGCTAGGAAGCCAACTGCCCCCTTCTAGATATTTATTGACTCTGAATATATCCCATGATTTAATGAAAAAAAATCAGACCACAGAGAAGAACAAGAGACTCCAATAAGGTGCAATGACACAAATTTTAGAGGCCAAAAGAATTGAAAATATTTATCTGCTAAGTGAGAATGAAATAAAATTCAGACATCTAAAAAACTGGCAACATCTTACTGTTAATACAGGAATAGCTTATTGCACAGAAACCCTAACTATTTACTTTCACTGATGCCCAGATTGTGCCTCTGTGTATTTCTAGAACTGAACAGTTTGATCCCTGGTTAACTCAAAAGCCAGATCTCAGCACAAAAGCAAGGTACCCACTGCCAGTGGGCCTTGCTTTGGAAGGGTTCACAAATCATCCTTCACCAAAAAACCGAGGATGAATCCACAGAGAAGGCAGCTGCCATTCTTTTAAACCCAGGCAGGGCTGAAAGAGGAGGGGGAGCTGTGCTCCTGGCTCCCCTCCCTGTGTCTGAACACACTCCTGAAGAGCCTTTGTCAGCCCAAAACCACATTTCCACCTTCCAGAAAATAGAAACACCACGAGCAAACCTAAATCTTACCAGCAAGGAAAACAACATCAATCCTGCTTCACCCTGCTGGTTCCCCGTGATCCAGCAGCTCTCCACTTAGGGCTTGGACACTGTGAAAATCCTGGAGAAGCCACTCACCTACACTGTGGAGGAAATAAGCAGCGAGAGTAGAACAAAAGATTCTAGTTGAAAATTGAGTGTTATGAAGTAGATTATACCTTATTTTGCATTTCAGTGTTGTCTGACAGATAAATAACTGTACATTATTTATCTGGCAGCACTGCTTATCCTGGTCACTCCCTGGGCATTCCCTCCCCAGGTGCATTCTGCACCCTGGTGGGAGCACACATGGCACTGATTTTCCAGCTTGAGCTCCCAGATTTTCAGAACACCCTTTTCTGAGTTGGAAATCTCTCCTACTGAAAGCATATTGAAATGCTTGTGGTCAGAAGTGAAAAACAAACTGTTTTCACCCACTCTGCCAAGTGTCCTGGGTTGTTTTGGAAGCATGCCCATCTAAATCACTCATCTTTTTCAGCACATCCAAACTTTCATTACGGATTTTATGCATTTCTAAACTGATAAGGTTAAAAAAAAAAAAAAGGAAAAGGAAAAAGTGAAGTAGAAGCCAGAATCTGTACTTTCAAGGCTCCAGGAAGATTCAACTTTGTAGCAATTCCCCAGCTGTAATTGCCTTACCAGACAGTTTAAATCCATTTAGAAAGTTCCATGTTAACTCTGTAGCCTCAAGAGCCTTGTCTCCAGAAATAGCTGCTGTTTGAACTGCAGCTCTGAGAGGATATTTTAAATCAAGTCTGTGCCTGCTTTTTTACCTGGAGAGGCTGTGTATTGAGATGGGCACTTCAGGGACAGGACAGGGTGCTGGGGCCATGGCTCAGCTGGAAGGGCAGGGAGCTGCCCAGAGTCACCCCAAGGTGACACAGGAGCCAATCCTTGTACACTGCAGCTTAACCCCCATCACTGCAACCCAAAGAGTGGACCTGGAGTTATTGTTCCCTGTGTAACTAAACCACACAAGCAATATTTTTAGCTGTCTTTTGATTTGAAACTGTGGGTAATTAAATCCTAGTGCAGGTCTAATACTTCAGCGTGCTCCCTCTAATCATAATTATCACATTTACAGAGAGCTACAGGCACCAGGCTGTTACAACAAGAGATGATTTTGTCTGTAACTCCACAAGATAATTGTTTACAAATAAGATTGAAAGCTACAGTTGGTGAACAAGTTCAAGCCCTATTTTGAAGTCAGTAGGAGAAGGAGCAGCCTGGTGCTGTGAACCAGGAAAAAGGAAGGTTCAGATCACACACAGCCTGACCTTTACCATCACACTCCCAGAGCTTCACTCTTACACCCTCACTTAGCATCCTTGACTCTGGTGGTTTCATTATTGTGGTGAGGAGAACGTAAAGGACATCGTCCATTCAGGAACACTCAGAAAAAACAATTTTGAAATAAATGTCTGTGTTGTGCAAATACATTCAAGCTGTAGAGCCCAGTTCAGTTTCTTCAATGTTTTTAGCGGGGGATAGACTTGAGGATTCCTGTTGCACATAGACACCCCCCCAGTGGTTCTGCACGGAGAACTGCAGCTTGGAGGGACATTTCCTGCAGCACAGCAGCTCCACTGGAGAGATCCAGGTTTAAATGCAGCATGAGCTCCCCCCAGAACAGAGGGACTGGGGCTTAGGTCAGCCCAGCACTGAGGTGAGCTAATATCAAAACCCCGTTGTGATTGATCCATGGCAAACTTTCAGTTTTTCTCCTGAAATCTGGGCCAGGCTGAGCTGCTGCACAGTGGAATTCAGTCAAATCACTCTTGCACAACGCTTGCCCACAGCCCATCCAACCCTCAGCAGTGCTTCCACTGATTGCAAACGCTGTAATCAATGGCCAAAACAAATTAAAGAGAGGGATAAAGAGTCATCTGCCACCACTTGTATGTTCTTTATCTTCCAAAGGCTTCTAGCAATTAATTTGTTGGAAGTTTTATTGTTATCAAGTGAACACTTTATTTTGTGGGACACTGTGGGTAAAAGCTGTAATGCAAACAAACAATGGCTGCTATGCCATAAATCTGCCTCTAAATCTCACTCATGCACTGAGGGTTTAAGATCTCTCTAAAGTAACATATTTGTTTACTTGTAAGGGGAAAAGGTCCTCCTGTAAGTACTCCATACATTGAAAACAGACACAGTAAAAATGGCACTTGGCAAAGTATCATTAGAAATGCTGTGATCTGTGGTGGCATAATTAAGGGAGAACCATTTAAATGCTTATTGATGAAGGAATATAGAAATGTTAGAAGCCACCAGCACGTCCTTCACTCTCAAGGGTGACATAAAGTGCTATGAGCTGGAGTGCAGCAGTAAGGATGCTCTCCACACACCCCTGCACCCACCAGGCAGTGAAGGGATCACACACTGCACTGGGCTGTTTCTTTTTCCTTCTGATTCACCTCTCTGAATGTTCTTCACCAGAACTCTCAACAGCCACTGGGTATTCCAAATCATGGAATGTCCTGAGCTGGAAGGGACCCACAAAATCACCAAACTCCAGTTCCTGGGTTAGTGTCACTTCAGAGGCTCCTGGCAGCACTGCTGAGGGCAGCCACACCTTCTGCTCATGGCCAAAATCCTGTGTGGCACCCAGTACTGCCTGCAGGCATGAACAGCACTACACACACAGAACAACACAGAAATCTTCGAGAGATGTATATCACAGCCGTGTGTTCACCTGGAAATGAGACACAGAGATGACTCTGACAGGCTGTTGCTACATCAACCAATCTAAAGTTGGGGGAAAAAGGGGAGTTAAAAATCCCTCTCTCTCAGGATGTGACAATGAGGAGGGAATGTTAACTAGCTGGTGTAATCACACCTGCTTTTAACACCCTCTTCCCTTCTAGAGGAAATTATTATCTCCACAGGGCAAGGCAGAACATCCAGAATGAAGCATGGAATTGAGCAGCGTGGATCTCACAGCACCTGTAAGCAGGTTTGCATTGCTTAAGTAATTATGATTTGGGTGGATATCGCATAAATAATATTGAATTTTCATATCTGATCACAGCTGCCACTTCCACAATGCGATTTCCACGTGGATGAAGAGCAAACTCTGACAGGAAAGTGTTGACCCTCCTAGGTAATAATGCACTGCTGACTGTGATAGCTCCTGTTCTCTGTAAAAAAAAACAACTTGTGTATCAAGGACAACTTAATAACAAAATAAAAAACCCAAAAGCCAATGGTTGTGTAAAGAAAATGTTCAGGCATGAGGATAATTGTCCACAGAGCATTACAGCCAAACCAGCAATTTTACCTGGTACTTCAGCATCCTACCTGAAGCTTTTAAAAGACAACTAAAATCTATCCAAAATAAAGAAATGCCAAAAGAGACTTTTTGCATCTGGAAAAAAATGTTTCAGTGCATTTGGCATTAATGTCTACACAGTTTAAGACAAATCACCAATAACATCCTTTGGAAAGTGGATTACAACCACAAAAGTGGTCAGGCATTCTGCTCCTGACTTCTGTTTCAGTAGAAGCAAAACAAAGCTCAGTCTTTGCTCCAAGTACGCTCTGAGTGCATATTGAAATGGTTTCTGTTTCAAAAGGAAAGTGATATTACAACTTCAGTCCTTGAAATTTATTTACTAATTCATTCACATACCCCGTAATTAGTGCTCAATGAGAGCAATCTCTTTTCAGACCTAGCACAGAATTAACAACAAGGATTTAATGCATAAATTTTCCTACAAAAATTAATAGATTTAGTCCTTCTTCCATTAAAGATTGTGGCAAAACTCCAATAATGATGAGCAAACTCATAATAATATTTAACTGTCAGATGATTACTGTGTTGCAATTCCATTAGTAATTAAAACTAAATGGCACTTAGGTAATGTTATGATCTTCTACTTTTCCTAATACCTGCCCTTTCCAACTAAGGGTCAAATTAATGTCAGGGTATCTGAAAAGTTCTGAAAAAGGTTTTTCCTGTCTATTTATCCCTATAAAACGTCGGCCAAAGCCCTTAAGCACAACGCATCATCTGGGTGAGAACCAGAATAACCTCCAGCCTCAGGAAAATTGATTCAGTGAAAACGAAAGTTCCTGAGCCTCTCCTTTCCCTGCATCTGCTCTTCCAGCCGAATTCCCGAGCAGCAGCTGTGGGAGCATCCTGCTCCCCTGGCCCTGGCAAGCACAGCTCAGGTGGAGCCCCTCCTGCCCCCCTGCCATGCCTCAGGCTCAGCTCCTGCCCTGGGCTCTGCTCCACCCGGGGGAGCCCGGGCAGGGCAGGGATGAGCATTTCACCTGCTCAGGGCACGCCTGACGCGGATCCTTAACTCTGTTACTCCTCTCACTGAAGATCCTCTGCAGGGAGGAGCTGGACTGGGGTGGGGGAAATGTCAGTGTGCAAAGAGAGGTTCTGCTGCAGCTCAGAGATAATTACAGCATTTTGTAACAAACCCCACTGCAGGGCTTTCTGGGGATGAGACCAGATTCTGGTTCCTAGTATTTCATATGCTCAGGGCACGCCTGACGCGGATCCTTAACTCTGTTACTCCTCTCATTGAAGATCCTCTGCAGGGATGCAGCTGGGCTGGGGTGGGGGAAATGTGCAAAGAGAGGTTCTGCTGCAGCTCGAAGAGAATTACCGCATTTTTTAACAAACCCCACTGCAGGCCTTTCTGGGGATGAGACCAGATTCTTGTTCCTAGTATTTCACAGTTTTGGGGTTTTTTTGTTTTTTGGTTTTTGTTTTTTTGTTTTGTTTTGTTTTGTTTTGTTTTATTTTTGTTTTGGTTTTTTTATGTTTTGGTTTGGTTGGTTGGTTGTGTGTTTGTTTGTTTTGCTGTGGTTTGGTTTTGGGTTTTGGGTTTGTTGTTGCTATTGTTGTTTTTGGGGGTTTTTGTTGGTTTTTTTTGTTTTGTTGGTTGGGTTTTTTTCCCCCTGAAAATTGTTTTTACTTTTTTTTTAATCAATCGACAATTAAATAGATAAAATAATAATTTGGTTTTTTTTTGTTTGGTTGGGGTTTTTTTCCCCTGAAAATTGTTTTTATTTTTTTTTAATCAATCGATAATTAAATAGAAAAAATAATAGATAATAAGATAATAGTTATCTATTATTACTAGATAATAAGATAGTACTCAATAGATATTTCTCAATCTCAGTGCTTTCCAATTAAAGTAATATAATGAAGTGTCAGGTTTCTGAGAGCAGTATCAGTGTTAAGTGACAAACACAATTTTAGCACATGGTCTGCACTTGGTTACTACTCCCTCTCTAGTCCAGCCACTGCCAGTAATTTGTTACTGCACTACTCCTAGCTTAGCAGAAGCAACACAGTGAAGTGTCTTATGAAATATGATGCTGTTGTTAATTCTAAAACCCTGTTTACCCTGTTTTCTTTTATTTTTTTTTATATATTTTTTTTTTTGGTAAAAAGCCTTGTAGGAAAATAGTTTGCAAGTTGCTGTTTTTGATAATTTATTTTCAAGACATTTTAGAAGAAAGATGGGAACCCCACAACAATTTTGACCTCTCAGAGTCCTTGTGTAAGATCTTCTGCTCTGCTGTTGCAACAAACCCCACAAGGAAATTCCAGGTTTTGGCTATCAGTGCCAAAACCACTGCAACTGGGCCAGTTTAACTGTGCCATGATGCACTCAATGAGTTTGGATACTGAAAGTGTAAATCAACGTTAATAATCATCACAAGGATTTGAGAGCACAACTTGGCAATAGGGGTTTTAAACCCCTTAAAAACAAGTAAAGCCTTTAAAAATATTTATTACATACTTTTGAACAAACCAAGTTCCTCTGCAATATATGCCAGGAATGCACATCCTGATGGAGAGCTTTGGATATGCATAATGGAAAAAAAAATTACACCAACACAAAAAAATAATTTTGAGATCCAAAATCCATTCTGGTGGAGAGTGGAACTGAGTCAGTGGTGTTTTGATCAGAGAAGATTGGCCCTACCAGGTGGACAAAATGTTTTGGTTGTACTTTCTTGGGTGACAACAGGAGCCCATGTAGCCAGACAATGCTGGAGGCTGATCCTTAACCAAAGGAGTTTCTAAAATGTGCTCAGGAAAGTACAAGAACAACTGTAGATGTTATTGACTCAGCAGACCTTCAGCTAGCACAGACCTGCAGAGCTCCACAGATCAGCAAACAGGTCCATGGCTAAACTAAATTGATTTAACTTTCATTTTAAACCTCTACTAGTTAAAGATACTTATACAAGTGAAGGGTTCTGGCTTACTTTTTTAAAAAGTATTTTTTACATTATGCTTTTGTGTATTTGTGTCTAGGCTTTACTTCTACTTTTTTCTCCCAGGAAATCAAGGAGAAATAAATATAAGCCCAGTGTTGTCTCATTCCTTTCCTTTCTTTATTCATTCATTCCTAATTTTATTTAACATCCTGAAATTTGACATGGGACAAAGTATTACAAGAAAATGGAAAAACCCAACACCACATAAGGAACCAGAAGGGGAACAGAACTTTGATAATTTCTTTGGTTACTTCCAAATAAATGAGCAAAAGATAAACACACAGTCCTGTAGAGACAGGTCTGCATTGAACCTGACAAAAGGCTTTCCTTGGTGATTTGTTATTGTTCCATTTAAAATATTTTAAAAGTTTGACTGCAAGAAAGCAATTCCACTTGTGCCAGAAGTGGTCTCCTCCCACTCGGCCTCTACTGTTATTACTGAGCTGCTGGTAGTTTATAAATTATGAATTGTATTTAAGAATTTGCAGACGTGTATTTTCTTTGTAAAGAGGGAGCAAGAGCTTATTATTTATCCTTTGATGTATGCCCATACAGCAAAATGAAATCACTGCCTTTATAATATCCTGTACGTTCCCAGCACTTGACCCAAATGTATTGAAACAAGCAGTATTATTTGTGTGTGTGAAAAATAATATCTTCCCACACCTCACACCTCTTCTCTTTTCTTGAGGTCTTTTATAGCTCAAAATAGCCAAGCTTATCTCACTGCCAGCATCCTCAGCTCATCTCAGTGTTCAGGGAGATAAGATTAGAGGCCTTGATCCTCCTGCTGTTAGAACAAGACCTCAATCTCTCACTGTCTCTATTTAATCAGGTTCCTATTTTAGCTGCCACAAAGCTGTCAACAAAAGAAAATAAACTATACCCCATCAAGGGGTTAAATTGGATTTCACAATGTGCAAATGCTCGTCCGAACAAAATTCCACCTGCACCCTCCATCAGGCAAATTAGTTCTGACTTTTAATTTATTTCTCTAGGAAATGGAAAGGTATGGCATACCCAAAGTCAATAGGGAATAAAGAACGAGGTGTAATCAGCCTGCTCACTAATTCAGAGCCCTCTTCTCTGTCAGCTTTAATAGATTTCACACCACACCATTTATAGAATGTAAGATGTATCTTTTCTGCTCCATGCTTTATTTTGGACTTGTCTAGTTAATGGTGCTAACAAGTGACAAGTGATGTTTGTTTGATGTAACAGTGCCTGGAGGACACACACACTGCTTGGGCAGATTTTGGACACTCTGTTTTGCTACTCCAGACTCTTAACAGGACTGGTTTTCATCTGGACAATCTGCAGCACCACAATTCTGTTATGATTTACTTGACCAGTAATTTATTCAGTTCTACCATATAGATATTAAAAAAAACCCACAAACCTGTAATTAATAACTTGTACCTTAAAGAATATTTTTATTTCTTTGTTTCAAATCATTAAGTAGTGGTATGCTACTAAAAAAAAGAAAAAAAACCCTGTAATTAATAACTTGTACCTTAAAGAATATTTTTATTTCTTCGTTTCAAATCATTAATTAGTAGCATGCTACTAAAAAAAAGTTTCCTCTTCTTGGACACTGATTACCCTGTAGATAACAAATAACCATTTCTTATTCTTTCAAAATATTCCCTCTGGTTTTCCCTCTCTTTAATATTTCCTTAATTCCACCAGATCATATCCAAAACCTGCTGTAATAGGTAACTCTCCTGGAAGAAGCAGAATGGATTGAGGTGAAATATCTAAGATAACAAAAGGAGCCTTAGGATAATGCTCATCTACCAAAAACCCTCACTGGCATAGCTGGTCTTGTGGCCCTTTTCAGTTTTTTGGTGGCCCTATAGCAAGGCAGAATTTGATCTGCAGCAGGGGCATTTTTAAAACCTAATCACAGTCATAAAGCCCA